AATGAATTTATAGATTCGTTTTTGTTTTGCGTCTCTGCGACAAAGATAAATCACTTTTACAAGTCTTACAAATTATAGTTTTGGAAACAGCAGCAAATACTGAAGCAAACTTCAAAATGCAATACGCGATACTTGGAGCGATGGGAACCTACATTTTCGCAGAAGCTACTCTCCTCTACTCGCAGAATCTGATGTAAATTCCGTATCATTTTGGGTGGTAAAACGGTTTCCACTAAATTTTCGCTTTTTATTATAAATATTTCCAGTCGCACTTCCTTTTCAACCACTCATTGTAAAAATAAATAATTTCTAGCTGCTCTGTTCTTTAAAATTGATTTTTTTTAATTTTACATTTTTATAACTGTTCCTGATCATATGCCATAACTAGCTACTGCTTTAGTGTCATAGTAAGTACCTAAATGGTATCCAATGAATATTTTTAAGAACATGTTTTTTAGCTTTATGTATTCTGCGTATGTTTCATTACATTCCAAATTAGCCTTATACGTCAGTAGGTTAATACTGGCTGTGAGCAACAACTATTTCCTCAATTTGTCATCGTGATTGACTATTAAACCGTTGCTATCTAAATCGCTAGATATCTACCCAATAGGGATTATTTTGGATTTGGCGAGTAAAAACCTCTCTTTTTATGAAGGTACTAGTTAATTTAACTGCAGTTTAAATTCAATAAAAATATTTTTAGATATGGATACTGAAATGACAATTTAAATAATAGCACTTTTGTTAAATTACTCTTTTTTAATATTTTAACTAAGCAACAAAAACTTCATTTTATGCATTGCAAAGACATAATTAGCATCCAATCAATTTAGAATCATACTGTTGTACAAAAAAAGTTTTGATGGATATTTAAATTTGGTAAATGCATCTGAATTTGAAATACACACTATCGAACGGAATTGTACAGAATCAATTATATGATTTTTTTATTTGACCGCTGTTAAAATGTTGTTATTACTAAAAAGTTGACAAATTAGTGTATTAATGAGTCATTTTTATTTCAATTTTGATTCATGGTTGCAGGAAATGGTTGTGTCCCTTTTTTTCAAATCTTTGATAAATATATACGTACCCTATAATATATTATTTATACCCGAATAAACGACGCCATTAATTTGAAAATGCATTATACATACCAATAAAAGATTCAATTTATTCCAATGAAAGATTTTATCCTGCATGCTGTTATGATTTTTTGAAAATTAACATAGTTTATTATCTAACATTCATAAATTATAAAGTAAAAAATAAAATTATCTTTGAATAAAAAAAATCTCTAATTAACAAAATGTCCATGAAACAGATCGAGAAATTTAGATAAACAATCCCAAAAATTACAGTATACAATTGTTTTTATTATTAATCAGTTTCTGTAGCAATTACAAAAAATGTAACAAAATTCTTTTTCAGCCTTTCCGAAATAAAAATTTATTAGTCTTAAACCCAAACAAAAACTTTGATTCCTAAACTTTCTCGATTGACATTTCGACGTCTTACCTTTTGCTTTAAACGTCAAAGGATCATTGCAATCCGAAAGAAAAACGACAGGAAATTGGAGTAGAGATACTCAATCTGTCACTCAAAACACTCCTGAAAAAAAAACAGAAAAGTCAGAAGCGTTTGATCTTGTTTTATTTATTTGATGTCTACCCACATTTACAGTGACATTTTGTAACAGCAAGAAAATAAAAAGTCGAATAATAGTGAATACTTCTACAGTTTATTTATTTATTTTTTCGTTATCTTCTTTTTTTCGCTTTTGAACATTAAAAAGAACCTCAATAGAGGCTAATAACTTCTTCTATGATTTCAAAAAATGTACAAAAAAGGGGATTAATATGTAATTAGTAGAACATTTTCCTTTAAAAGGGTATCATTATGAATTCTTAAGAAATATTTAGAAAAGAAATTGTTAAATTATAGAATATATATATCATTCAATATATTTGTACCATTTCATAGATAAATATTTATACAGGGTGTATCTAAATTCTGTGGCAAAACATTAAGGGGTGATAGTACACATCAAGACAAACAATAGTAAGTAGGAAATTTAGGGTCCCAAACGTCTTCCGAAGGAGATAGGTGCCATTAAAGTTTAGGGTCCGAAATTTCAAATGATTATAAAAAACGGAAAAATTGGTCGATTCGTTAGCGGTTTGCACTAAAATTATTCTTTTTTGTCATTATTTTCTTGAAAAATAAATTTTAAAGATAAATCTTAAAAAATATTGATAGAGGGCGCTTTAGACTTTGGAGTAACAAACAACTATTTTTTACTGTTATTTTTTGTATCATATTAAATGTTTTCAAAAACTTAGACTTAAATTTTGAGCTCAAAATTTGAATCGTTGGGGGGTGTTTAAGTAGCACAAATTCAACTGTGTTCAGGAGGTGAAATTTGAACTCGCCTTCTTCCCTGGACGCAGTTCAGTTCTTCATGATCTTCGATGCTCGGTCGTAGACTAGGCAGCAGCTACTTCCCACTAAACGTAAAATAAACGAGAGAGGAATGGTAAAATTAAATGAAAAAGTTATTCATAACACACATGAACAATTTCTCCCCGCAAAATACCTGATTATGCAAATCATCCCATTTGCATGCAAAATGTAGTACACAAGGATTTAACTGTATGGTGCTAACTGTATGTAAGGATGTAAAGTTCTACTGCAAAGTGTTCCAGCCAACATAAAGCTTCGTATGTTGTTCCAACATGACGAAGCGCTTGCACATTTCAGCGCAGATGTGCGAAGTGCATTGGATACAGCATATCCAGGGCGATGGATTGGGCGGGGTGGTCCGGTAAATTGGCCGGCACGCACTCCTGACCTCTCCTGCCTAGACTTCCTCTGGGGCCATATGACGACGACGCTGGACATCATTGGGAACTGGAACGCGAAGCGTTCTTCCGTCCCATACTGAGTGTATTGGGCTCTTGACGTTGTGTAGCCTTTATAACCTGTGAGAGTCCTGATTGGTGAGTGGATGTGGAAAGTGGGCGGGACTAAACTGGCTGGTTTCAGCGGTCTGTAAGTAATTTCCAAATTCTTGCAGGCAGGCGAAAGCTCGTCTGCCATTGGTCGAGAGGTAACGGTGAGTTAATACTCTATTCGCTGTCCTGGTGTCAAAGAGTAATTACAATTAAGTTGGGGGCCTGTGTGGGTCGCAGAGAAATAAAGTTAAAATTAAATAAAGTTAGAGATTAAAAAGAGAATTTAGCTATTGATGGGGTCATTCCCACATGGGAATGACAGAGAACTACTATTAAGGAGGATTGTACGAATCCCCAGAAGAATTCTTCTGGGCCTTTTTTTATTGAAATTAGGATCATTGTTCTCAAGATTGTGAATGTTAATATTATTAATGCTAGGTAAGCTTTCAAAGAATTTTTTACCTAGCTTTTGAATATGGGCTTTAAAAGTTAGAAGTTTAAGAGCTTTATATATATTTCTATTTCTTGTATATCTACATGTTTTACTAATTGTTCTAATGAGAGAATTTTGAGCGTTATCTAAGAGTTTTATATTGGAATTAGCTGCGTATCCCCACACAGGACATCCGAAAGTTAATATGGGCCGCAAAACGGCAGTGTAGAAAAGTACTTTATTGTGGATATTCATATGAGAATTCCGGCACATTAAGGGGTAAATTGAGCGTAAAGCAATCCGGAATTTATCACGCGCATGTATTATGTGTTGTTTTGGGGCCATATGAAGAGTCTTGTTTACGCAAGCCCCGTCGACTCCGACGAGGCCCTGGTTGCGAGGATTGCCGTCGTAGCAGGCGAAATCCGGAAGATGCCGGGGTATTTGCCAATGTTCGACATTCCTTTCGCCGGCTGTGTGAGGCCAGCATCTTTACTGGTGGGCAGTTTTTGTGATTCCGCAAGAAAATCATGCGTGTACCATTTTCTACGTGTCATCATTCATTCAACCTTCATTCATACGCACTACGTGCATACATCAGATTGTTTCTTTTTATTTTTAGAGCAGAGAAGTTGCTCATGTCTGTTATGAATATTTTTTTAAAATTCTGTCATCCCTCTCTCGTTTACTTTAAGTGTAGGAGGTAGTAGTTGCTGCCAGGTCTACAACACTAAGATCGGGAATAACTGAACCCTGTTCAGAGGAAAGGGAGTTTCAAATTTCACCCTCCTGAACACAATTCCGTTTGCGTTACTTAACCACCCCCAACGATTCAAATTTTGAGCTCAAAATTTAAGTTTAAGTCTAAGCTTTTGAAAGTATTTAATGTGATACAAAAAATAACAGAAAAAAATAGCTGTTCGATACTCCAAAATCTAAAGCGCCCTCTATCGACATTTTTTTAGCTTTACCTTTAAAATTTATTTTTCAAGGAAATACTGACATAAAGAATAATTTAAGTGAAAACCGCTAACGAATAGACACATTTTTCCATTTCTTAAAATCATTTGAAATTTCGGACCCTAAACTTCAATGTCACCTATCTCCTTCGGAAGACGTTTATATATAGGGAACCCTAGGTTTTCTATTTACTATTGTTTGTCTTGATGTATACTATCACCCTTTAAAAATTTTCCGCAGAGTTTAGATACACTCTGTATGTTTATATAAGATATACGGTAATATTACAGAGAAAAATATTATAGATTTTATAAATTAGAAATAGGCTAACGTCATAAATTAAAAACAAGTAATATAAAAAAATCAATTTTTAAAGTCAATTCCTACTTAGGTCAACAAAGAAAAATTTTATTTTAGTTACCTTTTATTAAATAGTTACAATTAATATGAATATGTATATACATATGACAGTATCATAATATTCGGTGAACAAATAGAAAGCGATTTTCCTTGCAATTTTCCATTTTCCTTTCTACATATATGGTGTTGTATTATTTTTGTTTGTTTGTTACTATTTATTCACTAATTAAATTAAATTATTCTAATGAAATAGTATAGTTAAAAATAAATAACAATTTCAAAAATTAGGCCATCCCAGGTGGAATTCGAAACCACGATCTACGTATTAGAAGTCCACTGTGCTATCCATTGCACTGCAGGAATACAATGGACGATTTTCCTTTCTATATATGCTGTTGGATTATTATTTTTTGCTTGTTACTATTTATTCATATTTTTAAAATTTAATTAATGAATTAATATTTGAAAAAACTGTATTAATATCAAGTGTCCTCCTCTACAAGTTTTAAAAAATGTATTTGAACTTGAAAGGATAAATAGAAAGTATTTGATTAACGAATGAAAGTTTGAACAAGATATATATATATATACCAAGCTTGCTTGGGAGACTTGAACACTGAAGTTCCGACTGACCACTTGATCGAGACATCTGCTCGTGCACCTCAGCGCCCAATGGTCAATTAAATTGGGATATGTACAGTAGGTCCTGGCCCTCATGGGCTGTTGCGCCGCTGAGTTTGAGTTTATTAATATATATATATATATATATATATAGGGAGAGAGTGAGCTAATAGTAGAAATTGAATGGAATTTTTCTAAGAAAATCGTTCATAAATTTAATGGCGTATTCTTACCCATTATTCAAATTCAAGATCGAGGCTCATAGTTACGAGGTCCGTCACCAATACCCCCTTCTTGCTTTTTAGTGCGACGTTAATAAACTTTCACCCACTCATTTACCCCTTATTTCTTTCAATTAAGAATTAGTCATTTACCCTACAGTATACAATAATCAGGCGTTATGTGCGAACCACAATGAATGAAATTTACTAGAAACATAAGTTTCAAAATTTGTCGTATATGTTAAGCTTCTAAAGTAAGTGATAAACCTAAATAATTAAGTACTTAAAAGTTATTTTCATTTTAATTTAATCCCTTCTGGACTTCAACGTTTCTCATCATTTGGATAAAAATTGCGCCGAGAAAGTCTGGGATGCCATGTTATAGGTCATTTCCTTCGTTTAACTAGCTATTCTGGCAGAATAAAAAGGTGGAGTTCTTCTGTAAACAGAGAAATATGATTAAGGACAAAAAATTAATGACAAAAAAAAAAAAAAAACTTAAATCTCTGTCATTTTAAATGAAATTTATATGTTTGAAAGACAAATTATATGTGCAAATATATTTAGGCATAATTGCGAAGCTCTTTCTTGATAAATATAAGAAAGTCAAACTTTAATTACCAAACCTTTATTTAATTTGTTTAGTTTAATGTTGGGAAAAATTTTATTGAAATTTAGGAAAATGCTGGTTATGAAAGTTCTTAAGTTTTTGAGATCATGATTGTAATATTGATCAAACATTTCTTGAATATTAATGTATGAGTTTTAACTCTGCCGTAACAATTATTTAAAAATTTATGGATAATTTAACTTGGAACATCACTTTAAGAAAAGTGATTTGTTGCGTAGTTAATAATTTTGTAAAATTATATAACAATACAAGACATTAGTATATTCTTGAGAAATAATTCAAGAGACATATGGTCGAGAAATGTGTTTAGTGTTATACTCTGTAATGCATATTCAACCATTTTTTTTTTAAAAAAAAGATGTATTTAATGATTTTATTTATTTTTGTAAAAGTTTAAGAAGTAGTAAATTTTTTTAAAAAAAATTATAAGCGTGTCAAAATGCATAAAACCAAAGCGATTTTTCTTCATATTAAAATTATTTTTTATTTGTCGATTTTTTTGGGAACTGTTAGAAGACGCTATAAACTAATTTTGTTTTAACTAAACTTTTAAAAATATATGTTTTATATTTTAAGGTGCTCGTTTTATATCCGGGGGCAAGCGCCAAGTTGTTGGTTATGTTCGCCAAGATGGGCGATAATATTACAATATGGTTACTTTAATATTTTTATCGTCTGGAGATGTGGTTGTCATGGGGATAATGTATATTAGAAATAACTTTTATTGGTTTTTTACCAGCAGTAACCATATTAATTTCAGACGATTTTAATTCTATTTCTTTAAAAATTTAACCACTTTCAGTGTAATTCTTCTATTTTTTCCATCTTCTGTTTTATTTGTGTAATTTTGGAATTCGGATATCTCTAATATGGGTAAGTACTAAGATATTTTTTTAAAAGAATGAGTGTTGTACTTTTAATTGTCGCTCTTAATCATTTATTTTTGCTTTATTTTACGTTTTAAAAATGCTTTTTTTCAATGTTCCTTGTTCAATGAAATTCGTTGAAGGAACTTGCAGTTTTTAGAATATTGCTAGCTTTCAATACTTTGTAATTGATATCCATTATTAATTTTAATATATATTATGTAATTATTTTATTAATAATGTAACAAAAATACAATTATTACTATATGTAATAATCATATAATTTTCGTTATTTATAAATATTTTTATATTTATTTACAAATATTATTACATAATATGTTATTTATTTATAATTATTATTTTGTTATTTATTTATAATTATTATTCTGTTATCTTTATAATTATTTTTATGTTATGTATTTATCATTATTATAATGTTTTTTATTTATAATTATAATACGAGTATCCTTATGCGTTATTTTTATTTTTTTACAATGCGATTATTCTTTTTTATAATTACTATTAAATTATGTTCTATGATTATTGTATATAATAATTATTATTAAATCATACTATGTGAATATTATATATAATTACCATTAAATTAAGTTATAAGATTATTATATACTGCATATAATACTATTATTAGTACATGTTACTTTTTATTACATTATTGATATTCATCATTTATTGATTGATCTTGGTTATTCTCAGCCTCTTCCTATATCCTTCATTTGAAATACATTTCAATGTATTTCCAAACAATTCTTAAAAATTATTGTCTACCATTAAATTACCGCTAGGCCACCATCTTGCTGGATTCCATTCTAGCAAGAACAACCACTTCTTGGCGAGATTCCTTTATCACGCCAAGCGGCGCTTGACGCCAAGGCCCCGAATATCAAACTAGTTCCTATTTTAAAGTATCTGAAGATATTTCTAAAATAAATGAAATATTTTACTAAATGTCAATATTTAATTGCGTGTCCTCGAGCACGAGCTCCTATTTTTATGTGTCTCTCCTTTTCCTTCTACTTCATTCATAAATAGTTCTACGCTATCATTTAAGCTAAAATAGTTGTTTTTTTTTAAATTATTAATTTGATTAATTCTTAATTATTTTAGGTTACAATGAGATATGATTAGAATATCAAAATACAGAACTTAATTCAATTTTATGAATAACTTTTTATTTTTTTCAGATTTTTGATTAAAAAATCTTTTTTTTTTTAATTCTCTTAATGCTCTAATAAATCTCTTTTTTAACAATTCAGTAAGTAGTATTCATATTTGAGTCTTTTATATCTCATTATCATAAAATCTTTTTATGAAAAATCATTTTTATCGTATCTTTCATTTATTAAATCTTCAAATATTACGTTGAAATAGAGGCTTCGAAAAAAATGAATCGTGACGTATCCTTTGTTTATTTGTGGCGTTTCCTCTTGGAGATACTTTCCAGTAAAACAGAATTTAATCCTCTTAAATCAAAAATTTAGTTCAAATATATTAAAATTTCATATTTTAATCAGGATTACAATATTGTATAAAGTTTCAGAGCCCAGTCATGATAAAATGGGAATGAAGAGTATCATGATATATTTAAAGCTTTTACCTTAATGAAAAATTTGTTTTCTTTTTTATAATAATAATTTTAATGAAATAGAATAGCTGCTTATCTGCACAGTTTGTTGAATAATTTACCACTTTAAATATATTCTGATTAAAGATATTATTTTAGAATTTTAAATATTTCATCTCATGAATTATATTCTCGTATATTAAGATTTCATACGCATTCACACATAATTTCTTATAACTATTTAAATAAGGAATTTTTAAATTTTAATCCAGATAAAAATGCAATTTATATCGTTGATTAAAACATAAAGATGATTATTGAAAATCATTTCAATAACCTTTTAAGCTTTCATTTTAATATGTAACGAATATGAAACTTTTTTAAAATAACGGCTAAATGCATTATAAGACATAAATAACGTCTAGTTTTTGACACATTTTAAAAACTACTTAGTACTTTATGTATTACTTAGTGTTTTTTTATTGTAAAACTCTTCTATGGAAACTAATTTCTATCGAATTTTTTGTTCAAAATATGTACTGAGTTTTTAGTAAACTTAATTATATCATGATTGATGATCACAAAAAAATACATGTTAATCTATCATAGTTGGAAGAAAAGTAAATTAAAAAAAACAACTTTGGAATACTTTTTTTTTTAAACTTTAGATGTTTTTGCTGCAAATCGTACACGTCTCGTTTCTCGGAAAATAAATAAAAAAATTTAACCATGTCAAATCTTTTTCAACTATGCACAAGAATCATCTTTATTATTCATAACGTAATAATAACAAATTTATTTTGTTCAATTTTACAGATAAAAAATTAAATTTCTATAGAATTTGAGATACGATTTTTAAAAAATATAATTGCATACCTATAAGTTTCCCTCCCTCATTATTCAATAAACTGGAAGTTTTTTTGTGACTTTAAATAAAAAACATGCCGTGGACTATTATAAACTACTAGCTGTATAGCTCGATATTTCACGAGCTTTTAAAAGTGCCTTTAAAAGTGCGCCATTTTACCTCATTTTATTTCCCAATGAAATTCCTTTACCCTCTCGACGTCATCACTTCCAGATGATTTATATATTTATGTCACAATTTTTTTTAATGTGTAACATCTTTCCTCTCTGTTGCTGGATATTTGTGGAAGTGATTTCGTGAAAAGGGACGGATGTGTGTAACAGGATGTGACGTAAGCGCGCGCTACTTGATTTGACCAATGAGAGTGTGTGGCTCTGTTTTTTGCTATTCTCGAATGGGGGTACAACTCTAGTAGCCATCAAGCACTCGAGCGCTTGACTCTAAATCCGTTAGTTACGATATTTAGGGACATGTGCGGCAGAATGTTTATTTGGAAAAGGACAAACAGTGATTTCGGTGGTTGTATACATTTCTTCGAATCGAACGGTTAAAAAAAATTAAATATTTCTTGCAT